TCTTATCTTGGATTGATTGTTTGTAACTCGCTCTACTATGGTCTTCCTGATTCTACACTCTATCCTTTAAGTAAAGCTTTTAACTCTGCTGCTCGTCTAGTTGCTCGTGTTCCTTTCTTTCTTTTCTCATATATTTCCATATCTTGTTCTCTTGCACTGGCTATCTATAAAATATAGAATAATTTTTTAAATTCACACATTTGTGTATAAGTCTCAATCTAAATAATTTCCTAAGTACCTAACAGATATATTAATTAAACCTAAACGCCCCGGTTTACGATCGTTTTCTTGTTCTCACTTCTTCTTAACTCGTGTTAAACATTCTTTTGCTAAATCTGCTTTTGCTTTTTTTGGCCTTTTTCTCTGGAACTCTCTACCTACTTTCTTGACTACTTCTCAATCACTTGCGAAGTTCAGAGCGGATCTCAAGGCAAATAAATTAAATTAGTAGTATGCAGTTTGAAATCTGTTTTTTCTATATAACGAGCGTTCGACTGATTCCGATCGTCAAAGTATCCGCAGCACGATGGCGAACATTTGGCCTTGCTTCATGCTGGCTTTTTTTCCTTCAACCTTTATTAATGCTATAGATTAGTTCAAATTAGTTCTTCATTGTTTGACAATTTATTTCCGTTTTAATATTTTCACATTTCACATGCAGATGAAGACTTATCACAGACCTTGCTGATAAGCAATCAAAACCGCGATAAACTTTTGAAGTATTTAAACTTCTTGGAGAATAAAGCCAATGTAGTTAATGAAAAAATTAGCGTAATAGTAAAAGAACTGGATTTGAACAAACAGAAAGTCAACATAATGAACAGTTGTTTGAGTGATGTTGAATTCACCGAAAGCGGAGTTACGGCAGAAGACCATTACGAAGTTCAAGCCAAGGAAAATTATTTCAAAGTGGCATTGAATACTGCCAAGCTTGAGAAGGAGTATTTGGAAAGAGATTTCATGAACTACCAGTTTTTGAAGAACGAAACAGAACATGATATAAAACTGCAACAAGTGACAATGACGATAATGGCTAACCGAATACCAGATGTGATAAAAAACGACCAACACGAATAGGTTGTGAAAATATTTTTAAATAACATGAAATATTCATTTTGTCGTTTGCTTTTTAATTAAATTCAATTGTTCAATAAAATGAGATAATTTTGCCTTGTTATAACCTTCTTTCAAAAAAAAATTTTGTTAACATTATAATTTGTAGTATCTGCAAGCTAATCAATTCAGGCATAAACTACAATTTTCAGTACCAAAATTGTCCACAGATGAATATCATTATGCTTAGTATGTATGATTAAATTTTTTTTAAATTTAAAAATTTCATAACTTATATAACTCAGCGTAATAAAATCTGTTTTTATATAAACATCTTTACAAAAAACATTTCAAACAATTTTGGATTCGAGATGCGCAATTTTATTTTTACATTCTATTGCTGTGAATATATTTTTTAAATAATTTTGTATTGTTAAATTGGATACGCAAAAAATACGCCAAAAATATTACTTGAAGTATAAATTTGTGTTGTGTGTGCATAGTTCTTCACACTTAACTTTGCAAAACGAAAAACTTTTAAATACCTTTCGAGATTGGTGAATGGGTAGACGACGTAAGTTGTCGCATGTTGGCCGGCGAGATGGCTCAGCAGTTCAAATGCTCGCTGAGTCAAACATCTCAATGGCTATCATATACTCAGCGTATATGATGCGGTGCTTGCGCGTGCACATAAAATACATATGTACATCGTGTGAAAAGGATAAACAGCCTTTGTGGCGAATATGGCTGCTTCAAATCAATGGTTGAGCTGCAATGTCACAGCTGCAATAAAAAAGTTCCACACCCTTTGTATATGAATCTTTCGGTTTTCCAACTTTTTGTTCTAAACCGGTCATAATTTGGATAACTTGTTAATCCAACCACCTAATAAACAATTCAAACAGAAAATTTCCATGCATAACATTGTAAAATTATTGAAAAATAAAATATAAAATATGAATGATATGAATATAAGATTGTTCTCAAAAGAGTAATTTAAATGTCATCAAAGCTGCATCAAAGTAAAGATATATAAAAAAACAAGCTTTTCGACATTGCGGGTATTAGTTTTGTACGGTGATCATTGATAATAATTGCTGAAGTTAGAGTTGGTGTGTATTATTTTCCTTTAATTGCTAATAATTGTCGCTGATTGAAGAAACATTTTTTCAGATTTTAATCATCGCCTCCATTACAAAAAAAATTGAAACGCGTCACATCTTTTATTATAGTGCTCATAAATATTTATTCCGAACATTTATTTCATTCGGCAGTTCGTGAATATTCAACAAAGGCGGAGTCATATCTAATTAACACGTTTATGGCTTTGTTATAAAGACTAAAACTTCACCAATAAAAATGTAAAATAAGTAATAAAGCATGGTTTTGATTATCTGGCTAACAATTCTGCAAAAATGTCTGTCCAAATAACCGACAGGCCCATGGCCGATTATTTGGCTGATGCCGGCGCAACCACAGAAACAACATTAATGTGAGTATCAACTCCATCAGTCATTTAAAACGATATGATAGAAATTAAAAAAGTATTTTCATCAACTATTTTCCATCACGAAATATCAATATATAAAATTATACGCTTGAAAACAACTTAGAGAATTTCAGGGCAACTCACAATACGTGGATTCGACTATATTGTCATAGTAATTTAATTTCACTATTTTGATTTTTATTTAGTTTTTTATACACCATATTATTGAAAATCATAATGAATTATCAAAAACATGTTTATTATCAATTTTAAATACATCCTTATTGATTACATACACTTTATTGATTTCAAAATAAATAAATAAATGATGCAACACAATTTATAAAATTAATGTTCAGCGAGGAGCTATGCATCAGTTGATGTCTTTAACAATGTTGATGGCTTCAAAAAAATGAATCAGTATTTCTTCTAACTGATATGCCAACATATCTATTCGAAACTCTCTGTCGTACGTGCGTGCTGTTGGCCGAAGAAAAAATTGTCATTCAACGGTCGATGATGAGCAAACAACTTTTGCGTTATTTTTTGATAAAAATAAACCAATTTTATTGAAAAATTATAGAAAAATCATTCAATTAAAATATATTCTGATTAAACTGAAGAAAAAGTAAAACTTGTTAAAATCTACATATACAAATAAATAACTAAATAAATAAAAATATTTAAACTAGTTTGAGATGGGTTACACAAACAAATATATAATTAACGAAAACGTGTTTTAAATATTTAATTTGTTACAAACAGTTCGGAAGATCATTTCCAACTTCGAGGGGATTTTCTTGTTTGTCCTTCGTCACTTCGGTATCAAGCTGGTTCAGTTTTTTCACCATATCATTCAATTCGTTCCGGTAAGTTTCATTGCTTTCTAACAAATGTTCTCCACTTTGGACTGTTGAAACATAATAAAATGAATGCATAATGTTTGTAAGAAAAATATTGTTTCAATATTTTAAATTTTAACAAGAGATAATTTCAATTAAGTCTCACGCTGAGCACAAGTGAATAATGTAATAGTAATGCAATTCAGCAACATTTTAATATCTTTTCTTTTTGCTGAAATGAATTAGTACAAAACCAAGCAATCTAATGAATCTTCAGAATGAGTAAGCAAATATACAGAGATGTCTGGTCACAGGTGACGATGATTTTATACTCAATAGTCAGATTTATTGGACTGCTGACTGATGTACGGTGCTCATCTGAGGACATGAAATGTCTCGGGCACCAATTTTTAAACTTTTTAATCAAAATTTGAGATATTTATTGCTCTTCTGTATGTAAAAAAAACAAAAGAAGGTGAATGAATCTGATTAATATAACACGCATGTATATGTATGTATGTGTACATATTTTTATTTATAAAACAATTGTATATATTAATATGCTTTTTCTGTGTTCGTACGCATGTAGGGTGCCCTACTGTGTCAATTTCTGAAAACATTCATATGTTCTGATCAAATGTTTTTGTATATCCAAGTATTTTTATTTTTTAATTGTCTACAAGTATAAAAAATCAAGTATTTATAACGGGATGCAAGCAGACATCTGAAAATGCATTTATAAATTAATTCACATGAAATGGACATGAATGTATTATTTGGTTCAATCACATACAATTATTGACCTGCCTAGCTATTCTAAATAATACATTGGTAAAATATCATGAATATATTTTTGTATCACTTGGTATTTAGTTTTTTACTGCTACAATATCGATTGTTGAACTTTGTAAAAATTAAAAAAAAGTTATTCTCAATGAATATCGATTGTTGAACCTTGTAAAAAATTTTAAGTTATTTTCAATCAGACCTGCTGTAAAGATATTATTGATCCAAGATGACAGCTAACGGAAATTTATTTGATTAGTTAGAATTATTTATTCAATTTTTTTTAAATAAATTTTATTTTTAAATGTTCATACAAAATATAAAAACTTTATAATTGCGAACGGAATTTGTGGAAGAATTTGCATCTATATAACAAACGTGTTCAACAGATGAGTAGTTAGTTATGTTCTTGCAAGAAGACAAAATGCTGAAAGTTTATGCTTGCCTGGTTTTGGCCTTTGTTCTGGCACAAGAGAACTTTGCTATAGGTTTATTAACACAATTTTTTCTAAATTTTGTTAAAATAAATTCATGTTAAAAATATCTCTTTCAGACGAGGATTTGACTCAAAATTTACTCATAAATAATCGAAATCGAGAAGAAATTTTGAAATATTTGAACTACGTGGAACGGAGAGATGTTCTGCTTGACGAGAAGCTTGCTTTAATTTTGCGAGAGTTGAGTTTGGTTCCAGAGAAGATTGACATAATGAAAAGTTGCTTGACTATCATCAACATGACGAAGAAAGGGGTAACCGTAGAAGAGCATTACGAAGTTGCACCCAAAGAGAAATACTTCAGAACTGCTTGGAAAGCTGCTGAGAATTGAAGAACTATCAGTTTTTGAAAGATGAACTTGTGCAAGATAAAAAACTCCATCAGATTGGAATGACGATAATGGACAATCAGCTTCCCGATGTCATTAATAATGGTCAAAATTAATGAGCTAGCCGAAATTTAGCGAACAAATATGGGCAGTGCAATCATGTGCAATCATGCATTGTAAATGTATAATCTTAATGATTTCAAATAAATAAATTAATTTTTTGGGTAGATATTTTTTTTAAAAGTGAGTAAATTTTTGGTCTGACTCTTGTTCTTCATCAATAAAAAGTTTAAAAACTTCATTTGTGTACTCGCAAATATTGATATTATAATTAATTTAGCAATTAAATAAAATATGTCTCCACACTTTTAATTGTTTTTGCAAAATGTCAAATTAATCAAACAACATTTGGAGATGCTTCGAATATTTAAAATTACATAATAATGTCAAAGCTGCTGAAGTCACAATGATGATTTTGAAAATTTTAAAAAATATTTGATTGTCAATTATCATGAAAACAACAAAAAATCTAAAATTGATATTTATAAAAATTAAACAAAAGTACCATATGAATATAATTTATCCAAATTTGTGTAACTATTCATAATTTATGTACAAAATGATCAAGTATTTACAAATCACAGTTTATTAACAAATTTGTCTACTTAAAATTGGATTACTGTACTAGCGGTTATTAAAGCCTACTTAATAACTAACTTAAAAAGCGAGAAAAAGACTGATTGGTCGTCTGCAATCAATGGCCACTTGTAGTTTTGTAGTCACAGGTCCAACAGTTTGGAACAGTCTGTCGGTCAGTCTGCGTCAATCAGGATTGACTGTTCAACAATTTCACAAAAAACTGAAAATGTTTACCTTTGTGCATCAATCCCCCTAAGCTCAAGAAGCGCATTTGTGTAATACTGAATGACGTTAAATAAATTCCTTCATAATGAAATTAATAATAATAATAATAATATAATTATTATTATTATAGTATTATTATTATTAATATAATTAGATATTGATTGAAAAATTTGTGCCGTGATATTTTATGTCTTAAGATGAGCACCGTACATCAGTCAGCAGTCCAATAAAATCTGATTATTGAGTATACAATCATCGTCACCTGTGACCAGACATCTCTATATATTTGCTTGCTCATTCTGATACACTGCTTGATTTTTTCAAATTCATTTTAAGAAAAAAGGAAAACAGGAAAAAGTTGCTGAATTGCATTATTATTGTATTATTCACTTTTGCTCAGCGTAAGACTTAATTGAAATTATCTCTTGTTAAAATTTAAAATATTGAAACAATATTTTTCTTACAAACATTATGCATTCATTTTATTATGTTTCAACAGTCCAACGTGGAAAACTTCTAGTAGAAAGCAATGAAAGTTATCAGAACAAATTGAATGATGTCAAAGAGAAACTGAACAAGCTTGATATCTAAGTGACGGAGGACCATAAAGAAATTTTCGGCGAAGTTATTTCAATTTATTTTTTAATTGCTTATTTTAAGAAATTTTAATGTTTCTTTTATCAGATTTTATTTTAAATCATTAGTATTTTCACAATTTTTCAACGAAATTTGCAAACGAAAATTTTTTTCAGCGGTCAACAGTAGCTTAGAGGAGTTAGCAGCTTATTTAGAAGAATGTCTGATTCATTTTTTAGAGGCCAACAATATTATTAAAAACACCAACTGATGCGTGGCTACTCACTGAAAATTAATTTTTTTCAATAATGTTTTATCACTGATTGATTTGGAAATCAATGAAAATTATTCAGAAAAAGGGTGTATTTAAATATTAAAGAATTAAACAAGCAAATAAAAAACGTGTTTGTCACAAGAATTACAATCATCTTCCATCTTCAGTCCATATTCAATCCATTTTCTTTTTTGTCTAATATAGTGTATTAAGATCAAAACAAAAAAAAGTCAAGTGATGATAGTCAAGCAACTTTTCATTATGTCAATCTTCTCTAGAACCAAACTCAACTCTCGCAAAATTAAAGCAAGCTTCTCGTCAAGCAGAACATCTCTCCGTTCCACGTAGTTCAAATATTTCAAAATTTCTTCTCGATTTCGATTATTTATGAGTAAATTTTGAGTCAAATCCTCGTCTGAAAGAGATATTTTTAACATGAATTTATTTTAACAAAATTTAGAAAAAATGTGATAAATCAACCAATAGCAGAGCACCATTACGAGGGCCACAGTCAGATGAGCATAAACGTTCAAGCTTTTGTTTTCATTCAAGTGAAACAATATTCATCTGTTGAATATGTTTGTTATAAAGATACAAATTCTTTCCCAAATTTTGTTTGTAACTATGAAACTTTTATGTTTTGTATAAACATTTAAATAATAAGATTTATTAAAAAATTGAATTAACAATAACTAAATAACTAACTAAATAACTTATCAAATAAATTTCAGTTCGCTGTCATCTTGAATCAGTTGGGAACAATAACATATTTACAGCAGGTTTGATTGAAAATAACTGCTTGCATCTCGTTATAACTACTTGATACTGGTAGACAATTAAAATATAAAAATACTTGGATACACGAAAACATAAGAGCGGAACATATGATTGTACTCAGAACGTGACACAATACGGCACACGAGATGAACACATACCATACAAAAAACATACTGATATAGACAAATTTTTACACACACACACACACACACCACACACACACACACACCACACACACACACACACCACACACACAAATACACACACACATATATATATATATATATATCACCCTCTAAGTCGTTTATCAGTGATGTTATTCCAACGCGAATGTTTAAGCAATATATTGATCTTTTCATCCCAATTTTGACATTTTTCATCAATTTGTGTTTGCGCCTTGGATATTTCCATGAAGTTTTCAAGCATGATGTTGTTACTCCTTTGTTGAAAGAGCCGTCACTTGATAAGGATGATATCAATAACTCGACCGTTCTCAAATCTACTGTCTTTTCAAATAAGAAGTTGTAACTTGACAGTTGACACGTTTAAAATTTTATTTATTAATTAATTGATCTGTTTAACTGATTATGTGATGATTTGATTATTTCAAATAAATGCTTCTTTTTGATTCTTTAGCAAAAATTACATGAGCCAGATAAAAAAAAATTGTTATCACTTCAAACCTCATCATCAACATCATCAATATTATCACTCCTCAATAATCATCATCACCACCACCACAATTATCATCACAATCATCATCATTCTCGTCAACACATAATAGAAAAGAGTAGCGAGATGATTTATGTAGAAGGTCAAATGGAAGGTCAAAAGTTTATGCTATGTAACCAAATGTATGAGTCTTCCTCACTATACATATATGCATTTGAAATCAAACAAGCTCATAAACATACACATATACAAACATAGAAAATCTCATACAGAAATACAATTTTTATGGACGCATGCATATAAAAATACCAACTAATACATACACATATACACATAAACATGCACACAAAACGCCTTCACGTACACAACGCCCACTCACGAGTCTGTGCCAATGTTTTATCGGAATTTATGAATAACATTAAAAGCAATAACTGTCACGTGATGTATGATGTCATGTCAAAGCGCAAACACACAAACGCGCGCGTAACATAAATAAATGAATTAATAAATATTATATATATATATATATAATATATATATATATATATAATATATAATATAATATATATATAATATAATTTAAACTATGACGAAGTCGACCATACAGCAAGACATTCAAAGAGACTGAACATGAGATGCTGTATAACGAATGTTTGAAACTTAAAAAAGCAGCAAATGATTAACTTTGACAGTAGTCTGCTGCATAGCCAATTGCAGGCCGAAGCACATCGCCATCGTAACGCTTGCCGTGAACCTCTTCTGTCAAAAGAAATGATCAATGCTGCCAAAAATTTACTCAACAATCCTGGCAGTTTACCCAACTATTCTTGCATTGTTGTTCGTAAGTCTGATAAGTCTAACGTGTATGTTGTCATGAACAAAACCAACTACTACAAACAATTCAATTTTTTCTGATAGTTTGAAATTTCAACGTATCAACAAAAATCCTACAGCTGGCATTAAAATTTCCGATAACAAACTGAAAGCACAAATCATTTCCAATTCTGCATCTGTTAAGTTTATCCCAATCATTGGTGAATACAGCCCCGGTTACATCTTCAGCAATGTGAAGACACACAAGCCGAATAATCCATTACGACCAATTATTTCGCAATGTCCAACTCCCACATATCAATTAACAAAAGCAATCAACAAACTTCTTGAGCCTTATGCACCTCGCACCTTTTCTGTTAAATCCAGCTTTGAATTTATTGACATAATTAATGACAATAAAAGATGCGTCGAAAAGATGGCCTCGTTGGATGTTGAGAGTTTATTTACTAACGTATCCATCGACTATACTATTCAAATCATCTGTAATTACGTCTACAACCATCCAACACTCCTGCAACTCGATATTCCATCTAATCAGAACAATTCTCATCAGAAATTTTCCATTGAATTTAGCATGAATAAAAGGTTAACGTTTGATTGTTTGGTCAAACTACCCTATTTACCAGGTAGGAATGATAATACTAACATTAACATTAGCACACATATACCCCAAAGGGCTTATATTATGTCACTTTTTTATGTTATCCTTGAACACTTACTTTCAGGTTTTGTGCCGTGGAAATCAAAGAGTACATGTATATCTTTCTTGACACAGAAGCCACCAAGATGCAATATTTTATGCTGGTATTGCAATCTCTTAGTACATTTACCATTGAATAGACAAAACATTAGATGAAATTTGGTACAACATGTTTTCAAAAGAAGCTACACCAGGTGTGATCGAGCTAGAAATTCTACCTCCAACAGAATGTGCAGCTGCACAACATTCCCTGCAGACCCTGGCTTGGAACCTTCTACAAAGCATGTTTTTAAACGGGGATCCTCA